GTTAATTAATATAAATAATATATATAATATTTATATTTATTATTAAAATTATACTCTTTATTATTAAATAATATTCAATTATTTACCAAATTTATTGATTAAAGATTTATTTCCAATGGCATCAGAATAACATAAAATACTCAAGAATGAAAGATGATAAATAGTAATTTTCATTTTGTAATCTGAAAGAAAATGTTTTTATTCCATTATTATCCGAAAAATTAATTAATTAGCTATTAACGAATTAATTAGTTACAATTTTAAGTTAACTTATTATTGATAAGTACTACTAATTAAAACTTTTATTATAAGTTTAAAAATTTGCTTTTTTATTGTCATAATAAATAAACGTATGCATAATGTACTAGAAAATATATATATTTATAAAGAAAATTATATGTGCCATGAGGTAAAAAAAGGTTGAAAAACACTGTTTCATATACCTCAGTATTGTAGTAGACTTTACATTTGAAACATATAGCCTAAACTAATGATTGCTTAATGCTTGAATCAATATTTTCATATTATTATATGGAATAAAGCAATTACTCACCTTTTCAGATCCTTGCCGCAAACTTTTATTTCTTAACGGAAAGTTGTTTTTATTGGGATACAATTTCAAAAAAATTGTAGATCTATAAATTCCCACTGTCATCCGACTGTCTTTTGTCTGTCCTTTAATCTCCAGAAGGAAGTTAGACAGATGAAATTCTAGAGATTTGGAAAGACGAAGAGCAGGAGACCCCTGTTAACTATACAGGAACTTCTGTCGCAAATCGGAAGTTACGTTATTTCAATTCTAATATTTTTCCTTGAAAGGAATTAGATAGATAACCTGCATGACTCCATTGCTAACAGGATTAAGTATGATGTACAGGAGCGAGACACAATTAATTTGAGGTAGTGAGCATATATTTTAAATTAAATAAATTTAAAAATATGATTAAATATTGTAGCTTGGTATTGTGACTATGTCACAATAAATAATTGCTCGTACAATCTATAAACTATTTCGAAGTCTATTTTATTATACAGCGTTTTAAAAATTCATAGGAAACGTGCGCAGAAAAATCATGGCATTGAAAATTTCAAGTAAACTAAATTAATAATTCAAAGATCAATAATTCTTATTCATATATTTCTGTAAACAGCGTTGTGTTTTTGGCGAATCAATGTTGCGATTGTTTGGTTTCTTACATTAAATCATATGTTCATATGAATAGAAATTTTACGTTTTTTTGTGACATTAAAATTATCCGAAATGTAAGCTTGAAATGCAATATGGTTTTATGTGTGTCTATACAAGGAATTTATAAATAAAAATTTCTTGTATAGAAACACATAAAACCATATTGCATTAAAGTGAAAATATTAACATGGGAGATATAGATGAATGATATCTATTTAAACATAAAACTCAAAATTAAATTTATAAAGATATTTTTACGTTAGGAAATTCGAGAAAATTTTAATTTTGGAAAATAAATTTAGTTTCTCTCTGATATTAACTATAATGTAATCGTTCTTCAGTAATTAAATATTTTAAATATATTTTTTGATTTAGCATTATTGTATTTAATTAATTAATATTTCTTTGTAAAATTTTCGTATATAATTAATTTTCTGGTGTTATTTTTTTACATTAATTTCAATATAATGTAATTATTAAAAGAATTTACTATTCTTTTTTAGAAAATGTTTTCAACGATCGCAAGCTATATTTAATTTAATTATTTTTATATTTTATTTGGCTATAAATCTATTTATATACCTGTACCTATAAATTGAATACTTTCATAGAAATGGTATTATTTAATAATATAAATACATTTTTCAGTTCTGAAGTCGTAAACTTAACAGTAGGTATACGATTTATTTACGATATTTTTAGTCAAAATTATTATTAAAAGAAAATAAACATTTAATTGTAAAGTTGAAGGAAATTTATTTGATTATTATGCTAAATCGTCTTTAATTGCTTTTGTCTGTTATTTTAGCGCTGGAATAAGCATGAACCACTTGCATGCCATAATTGCTCACTGCTGAAAAGATCTCTTTTGCTCCTGGATAAATGTTTAAGTAGACACCTTGTACTATATTGATACTTATAATGTAAGATAATTTATTCCGTATGTTTTTAATCATATTTTGTAACAATTATTAACTAAAAATATGTCAAACGCAACAAAAGTATGAATATAATTTCATATTAAATATTTTTGTTATTAAATGATAAAAGTAACATTAATAATTCATAAAATAAAATCTATCAGTTTATTTCTATCGTATTAAAACACTCATTAAAATAATTAGGTTATTCTATATTCAAATATAGTTCCTTGTTTTTGAATTTTAGAAAATTATACGTAGATCTTTCAAAATAAAATTGGCTTTCTAGGCGTTATATTGTTTCACTTGGAACAATAATCGTAAGAGATTGCTGACCTTTAGAATAGAGCTGATCTGGTTAGAAAAGTAATAGTAATAACTGCGGAAGAGTTAAACGAAAAAATGAGTGGAAATCATTTATAAGAAATAGCGATTC